TAGCTGTCATGGCATATGACAGGTACATTGCACTCTGTAACCCACTGCTTTATACAGTAATTATGTCCAAGAGAGTCTGTAGTCAGCTTGCAGTTGGAGCATTCCTTGGGGGAAATATGAGTGCACTTATTCATACCACTAATACTTTCCAATTAGCATTCTGCTCCAAAGAAATCAACCATTTCTTTTGTGATTTCTCCCCACTCTTCTCTCTTTCCTGTTATGATACTTATATTCATGACATCATCCTGGTGGTCTTTGCTAGTTTGGTGGAAGCTGTCTGTCTTCTTGCAGTGCTGGTCTCTTATGTCTGTATCATAGCAGCCATTCTTAAAACAGGCTCTACAGAGGGAAGAAAGAAAGGGTTCTCCACTTGTGCTTCGCACCTGACTGTGATCACTATTTACCATGGTACCATGATTTTCATTTATTTGCGCCCTACTTCAGGCCATTCAATGGATATTGACAGGGCTACCTCTGTCTTCTACACATTGATTATACCCATGTTGAACCCCCTAATATATAGTCTTAGGAACAAAAATGTCAAAATTGCTTTTAGAAAAATTATTAGCAGAAAGTTACTTTTGTAGGTGAGATAAAAGGGGCCTCATAATTTGAAAAATGCTCTTTCTTCTCACATTTGTTTCCAAACGTTGGAAAAACCATCTTAGTGTACATATTCACAAATTTATGAAAAATATATTCTTAACTATAGAGGAAATTGTGAGCCTAACACTATTACCAGAAGTCCTCATATTACTGGTCATTTTATTATTTTAAAAGTGATAATTTAAATTTTTAATGGCTGATTACACTTCACTTACTTTATGACCTATTCCTATATCAAAATAAATATAACCCACGAAGCTTCTTCATTAAATCTGATTTGAATTGCATCAAATGTTTTATTTAATCAAGTGGTGCATATTGCAGCATCTTTGTCCAGATGCTACTCCTTTTAAAATCTTCCTCAGATATTAACCCATGCATCTGCTTTTCAGAATGCTCCTGTATTTCATAAGATACGTTGTCTCTTAAATCTGTATGGTATTACAGACATAATCCGTTTTTTTTTTTTTTTGAAGTTTGAAAGATATTTTTTTAAAAAAGAACAAAAAGCTTTGGTATTTCAAAACCATCTATCACTAGAAATTTAAACTCTTCTCCCAAGTCCGGAAGTACAAATCAACAGACCCGGCACAGACTCAGGGTAAGAAAGGGTCATCCATTGTGTAAACCACTGGAGGGCAGGGAAGCCACGCCTTCCTCAGGCAGGGAGTCCACTTGGGGCTCAAGGCCAGCCTCCAGACCGTGCATGGGGGGCTTCTAGGTGCCAACATGGTGGCAGGAATCAATCATTGAACCAACACTCCTAATCTTAAGGTGGATGAAAAGCAAAACCTCAACAAAAATAAATTAGAAATCCACTCAAGGAAGAGCAATGTTACATTAGGAAAAGAGAAATTTTTCCTAAACAAGTCTCCAAAAGAGGGTCTATTTCCTGGGATAGAAGACATGGGGGAAAGTGGAAGGGGTGAGTTCAATTTCAAGTATTTTCCCTGCAGGTTCTTTAATGACTGGAAATCTTACAGAAGTCCACTGGCCTTCCTTCCCCACTGACAGTCGTTTCTTCCAGTGCAAACTCTTGTACCCACAAGCAATTCTGAGTCACTACCTTCCTCAAGGCACAAATGGTGGGTGCTTCCAAAGGATCCCTTGTTTATCGCAGTGGCAGGATGCTCAATGCTGGGCGTCTTGTGCAAATGGTGTCAGAAAGGACTTGCGGTTCAATCAGAACTGGGGTCTTCCTAGCTCTTGAAGAGGGGCTGGCTCCGGGTCCACACTACTCATTGTAGATGAGCTTGAAGAGGAAGAGGTGGAAAAGGGTGATAAGGGAGTCTGTGCTGAACCAGAAGAGGAAGGGAAGGCCAGGGTCCTGTTGGGCCATGTGCTTATGGTGGGCCAGAATGGCCTTAAGGGGCAGCATGTGCCACAGGTCCTGCAGACGCATGAGGTCAATAGAGATGTACAGCAATGGGGTGATGGGCTTCATCACCTTTACAGAGAAGGTGTGGCCCCCAGGTTCTGAGGTCAGCTCCACAGGGTCTTGGAGGCAACCTGCCTTGCAGGCTTAGATCTTAACAGGATGGCCATGGTACTCCACAGACACATGCAGACTCCACAGACTCCGCATCCACCAGCACAGCCAGGTTGATGTGATCATTCTTGTAGCAGATCTTATGCAAATGCGTAGCTGTTGTGCAGCACCTCAGGGTCAGCCTGGAACTGCAGGTGGTTTTCTGTGAACTGCAGCTCCTCAAAGCTGAGCACCATGCCTTGTTGGGTGCCTGGGGCTCCCACCTTCATCAGCCCTTTTCAGCCACGCTTCTGGAGGGTCAGTTTCCACAGGTCGGAGAGCTTCAGAATCTGCGCTACCGAGGACAGATGGCCAGGCCACAGGTTCTCGGCATGCAGGCATGGCCGCTGGAGCAGTGGTCTTCATAGTTGAGTGTCACCTCCAACTCTTCTCGCTCCCTGTGGCTCAGGGAGGGGCTGAGGAGTGGGGTTGGTGATCAGGATAGCATGTAGTACAGAGTCAGGTTCACAGTCAGGCCTGACGGGGTGTAGGCATCAGTGATCTTCTTCATCTGTTGGGGTCCTCTGTTATGCAAAGTAGAAGTCTCTTCATGTCCGGATAGCTCACGAGCTCAGAAACCATGTGCTGCAGATTCCTTTTCATAGCAGAGTGCCTTCCTGGGTTCCTCCCTGACTCTTCTTTTAAAGTGCTCACCACAAATACATGCCCTCTGGCACAGGAGCTACCAGGTTTTAATCAGGCATTGTCTGATAGCCTGATAGAAGCCCACCGCCCTATGTAAATGAGGCATCCTAAAAGTACCAATCAGCTAAGATTTCTTCTACTGTCTCTACACTATAAATAGTCCTAGTTTTACCCCAATAAAGTTGGAGCTGGAGCTGAATCACTGAGATCTGAGCTGAGTCACTTGTCTTGAGCTGTCACACTAAATCCTGTGATCCAGTCTCCCCGGGGGGCGCTATTCCCCCATCGCCGACTCACCGACACCGTGGCTTTTGCCATCCCTCATACGCTTCCCGTGTGGTCCAAGTGGCCAGTGGACCTCACATGGACAAACGCTCCAGTAGCAGGGAAAGCTCAGCAGCAAGAGAAACTGCGGTAGTCATCAGCTACCGACACTCCCAGAGATGTGGGACCCGAGCTGCCGAGCCCAGGCACGTACCCAAAGCAGCCGCCGGGAAGTCTGCAGACCCGCAGGGAGTGAGCATACCGCTGCGCCCAGAGAGAGAGCGCAGCCGCCCATATCTGGTGCCACAACGTGGGGCTCCCCTGAACCTCGTTGGACCTGGCGCCACAACGTGGGGCCCCTGAACCTCGTGGGACCCTCTCACAACATGGGACCCCCCTGAACCTCGTGGGACCCTCTCACAACGTGGAGATTAGCTTCTGAACTTCGTGCCAGCTAGGAGCTGGTGCCCCACAGAAACACAAAGTATCCGTGAGTATTCCTCCTCCCCTTCAGGAGGGTAATCTAATCTCTTCCTCTCTTCTAAAAATCTCCTTTCCTTTCCGGTCTAGAAGTCTTCGCGAGGGACCGCCAGGGCCAGGGAGACAACTGACGCCTTCTGGCCAGGGCTACCTCCTGGTGTTGGCTAAAGGTCTCTCTGATCCCCTAGGAGGACCCTGACTGCCTGTTCAGGTGTGGACAAAGACCTCTGTCTAGACATCTTTAATATCAAAAAAAACAAAAAACAAAAAAAAACTGGTACCGCATTGGCCAGTAAGGACCATCAGGCTCCAGGGCCAGGGAGACAACTGACGCCTTCTGGCCAGGGCTACCCCCTTGTGTTGGCTAAAGGTCTCTCTGATCCCCTAGGAGGACCCTGACTGCCTGTTCAGGTGTGGACAAAGACCTCTATCTAGACATCTTTAATATCAAAAAAAACAAAAAACAAAAAAAAACTGGTACCGCATTGGCCAGTAAGGACCATCAGGGTGGCCGCCAGCCTCTGAAATTTGCGGGCAGGTCTTGTGACTGGGAGCCACTGCAATCCCCTGAAAAATTAATTTCAGGAACATCGCTTTGGACACCGTCACTTCTTCACTTTTCTATCTGAACACTGTTAGAGAAAAATCCCCAAAAAGTTCCAGGGATTTCCACCTAAGCCTTAGAGTCAGGGAGAATTCCTCCAGCCAGCTCTCTCTCTGCTCTCAAGCGTTCAGGCAAGCAGGTAAAAGCGAGGTCAGTGAAAATTCAAGTTAGCTAGTCCCTGCCGAACACCTAGGAATTCAGGGTGGTTCGCTGTTAGACAAAAGATTTTTTCTATCTGAATACTGCTAGAGAAAAAATCCCTAAAGTTCTAAGCTTCAGAGTCAGGCAGATTTGTCTAAGCAGCTCTGTTATCCTGCCTCAGAGCATTTGAGCCACACCTACACCAGTTCAGTGAAAATTCAAATTAGCTAGTCCCTGCCTAGGAATTTAGGGTGGTTCGTGGTTAGACAAAAGATTTAAAGTGAAACTTTTTTCCTGTAGCCTAAGGGCCAGTAACCTGCAAAAGCGGCTTTTAGATAAAGATTTAAAACAGGCAATTTTTTTTTCTGCAGTTTAAAACTCCTGCCTGTCAGAGCAGTGCCAAGTTACTGCAAAACATTTAACATCTTCTCTTTACAATGGGAAACTCAGAATCACGTCAAAAGAAAAGACAAATTCGTTCCCTTAAAATCCTACTTAAAACCAGAGGATTAAAAATTTCTAAAGAGGAAAGCTTAAAATTTTGGAATGAGATTAATCCTCACCCCTCTCTTGCTGATTTAACAAGTGCAGATACTAAAGCCCAAATTTCAAAAGCTTCCAAAGATTCTCAGGTAAATTCCCCTCCTCCTCTTCCGCCTTGACTGCCTCCAAGCCCTGAGGCTCAGCCCCCGCCTGTGGAGCCACGCCCAGCTACAGAACAGTTGTGTAGCCTTAGAGACAGTAAAAGCTGTCAGCCTAAAAATTTCCAACCTCAGTGGTCTCAGGACCCCCAAAACCCACCAGTAGAGGCTTTTCCTATCAACTTGCAAATAACCAGACAACGCCCCCTAGCCTGGTACCCACTCCCAGCTGCTGAACTTAAAGAATTGCATCAGGCTGTGCATGAAGATGGCATTCATGCTCCTTGGACTAAATCTATATTACAAACATTTAATACTAACCTGCTTCCCCAAGATTGGAGAGACATCTGTAGATCTACCCTCCCCAGTCCATTATTTGTACAATGGGAAGCCTTATTTAGAGATGAATGCCTAATGCAAGCTAAAAGAAATGACACTCATAATCA